CACAAATTTAAAAAAATTAAAAAATACTCATAGTAGATAAATAGGTATAATTATAAACTCAGATAAAATATAGTTTAAACAAAAAAAGAAAGGTTGAAAACTCTAAACCAAATGTAATTAATTCTCAAAAAACTCTATTCAAAGTTGATATTTTGAGTTTTTTTGCTTCATTTTTGTTTCCAAAACCTTAAATTTTTCCTTAAAAAAATATAGACTTTCATTTTCTAAATATGAAATAAAAAACTCAAATTTAAGTTTCTTTAAACTGTCAAATAATTTTAACATCAAGTATATATTGAATCCCTCAACAAATATACTTATTGGAAATATATTTTCATCATTAAAACCAATCTCACTCACACTTTTATTTGCATCTTAAGATTAAGAGACATCAATTATATAAAACTAAAGCAAACAATTATAGATCTTTCAAACAAATGTAAATAAAATCTAAATAATAATTTAAATTAATAAAATTATATTTTAATATAAAAAAGTTACCATTATCAACCTCTCTCATAATTTTAGTTTAACAACATGGTCTTAACAATATAAATCAAAGTAGTTAATAAAAGGAAAAGAAAAAAAATTATAAATTGTAATATTTAGAACCAAAATGAAGAAATCAAAAATTTGAGAATCAAAGTGTCAATTAATGAAAGATGAGAGACCAGACAGTTTTCCCATGAAGAAACAAAATTGCATTTTGGTCCAAAATCTCGACACGAACTCTGTTTCCACTCTTCAATGAAGGTGTCAGCACTTCCTTTGAAGTGTCGACACCCTGTGCGATATTCAGCTAATCGCAGCCCGTCTTTATCTTGGCGGAGGTCCGGGGTCCATTCTCATTAATTATTCTAAAATCTTATAAATACTTTCTAGATAAAAATTAGTAAGAACTTTTTGGAGGCTTTTGCCGCTATTTTGGAGCACTTTACAAAACCAAGTTAGAGGTGATAAACAATATAATTAATAGGTAAATATATATTAATTTTAATAGAGTGGCTCAATAATTAAAAATTAAAAATTTTAAATTAAAAATTTTAAATTTAAATTGTGAGTCGGATGAACAAGAATTTAAAAAAAGAAAAAAGTTATTTTTTTTATATAATCTATTCAAATGTATTAAAAAAAT